AGATAGTGAGATAGTGGTGAATAATATAGACAAGCATTCCTGTGCTCATTGAGCTTTGTATTCTGGCAGAACCCAGGACCAGATTAGGTACTTTTGTCTTCAAACAATGTCTTACTCTTTTTACTTGTTTGTTTATTGGTGCTGGGGATTGAACCCAAGACCTTACAGATATTAAGCACACACTGTATCACTGAGCTACATTGCCAGCCCTTATTTTTTTTTTAAATACAATATGAAGTAGAATAAGTCAGTCTCCATGAATCTAACTTTTTTTTTTATAAGCTCTTGCTCTCAAGTCTTTCCTATAAGATGGCACCATTGCTAATGTATAAACTGTCCTCTCTGTCATCCATTATCAAAACCTGCTCTCATGAAAGGAGCTGAACTGTATTCATGAAAATGAGAAATGAGAGTTTGAAGTATTAATCTGTCTCAAGGATATTGCATTCTAAAAGGACAGAGAAACTTTAAGCTTGGGGAATTTTGAGCATTAGATTACCAAAAATCAAATTTAAACTTTGGAGCAGATTGCATTTTTCAATATTGTTACAAAAAAGAAAAAAGGAAGACCAGCAGAAAGAAAAAAGTAGCCTAGAGTCAGATAGGTTAAGTGGATAGTGTCTAAGTATTTTTTTTTTCTTTTGAGACAATGTGTGGCCATGTACCCCAGTAATTCAAGGCTAGCCTTAACTCAAGATCCTCCTGCCTCAGTCTCCTGAGTGCTGTAATTGCAGACTCACATTAAGTCTTGAAGTCAGTGGCCTTCTATTTTTAAAAAAGTTATTGATTTCATGAAGAACTTGAGCTCCTTGATACTATGAAATTATTTCTGGTGGACAGCTAAGAAAAATACTGTTTAGTTTCCTTTTCTTGGATTTTGGGAAGATTGGTGAGCCATTTTGGAGGAAAATTGGCACTATATAATAAGTGACTATAACTTAAAAAATATTCTTAAGCACATACTCTATACAAAGCTCTTAGTTAATATCTTATGAATCCCACTGGGAGAGTCTGGATGAATCTGGGTGTGCGAGTGTATAGTTGATGAAGATTTCCTGCTTGAGGCTTGAGTTGGAATAGGCATTTAAATGAGAGAAGTAAATACTCTTTGTTAAATTGAGGGAAGAATATTTAGTAGCATAAAACAGGGTTGAAAATGGGCAGATTCATGGAAAAGTTAATATTAGGAGAAAATGACTGAATATAGACAGAAATACTGCAGAAGTGGTAAACGGAGAAACTGTGATAAAATAATACAGAATACTAAGCAAAGTTGGCTTACAGTAGTCAGAGGAAGAGACCACAAGCATGCTTTAGATTTTTAGGGACAGCAGAAAAGTTCCCCTCTGACTTAAATATAGTTTCCATTTACTAGTGAAGGCTGAACATTTCCTTAAATATGTCTTTGGCCTTGTGTAATTCAAACATGACCAAAAGGGAAAGACCTTGTATTCTCTATAACTTGATCTGTTCTGAAATTGGGCTCAGGGCAGGCCTTGTTATGTCTGTGGAGTTACCTGGGGGTTGCTAAAGATATGTAAGTATAGAAGTTTTCATAATTGCTATTTTGGTTTCTTCTTTGTAGTTGCATTCTAAATCAGAAGTAGAGAACTACTAGAATATACAGCTTCTCTTCAGCCACTGCCCCTAGCAAGCTTCTTCATCTTTGAGATGTTTTTCCCTCTAAAGTCAGTGGCAGAATTACAAAAAAACCTGTAATCCACATGAACTGAGATGGTTTTATTCATATTTCTGATTTCTCAAAGCAAACTTTTAAAAACTGTGTGTGTATTTTAGAGAAAGGGAAGATTTATTAGTGATTAAATTTAGAAATTCCTTTTAATTTTAATTTGGGTCATAAGTATTTTGGATGAAAGAAGTAGTTCACACAGCTAATAGAACCCCCAATTATGTATTTTTTTCTTTTTGAAACAGAGCTTCACAATCTGTGTGCAGCCCAAGGGGCCTCAAATTCACAATTTTTCTGCCTTAGCCTCCCATGTGCTAGGATTACAGGGATGAACCACCACATCAGGCTCTCCCTGATGATACCCAAAACCACTTTTCCTTCCACCTGCACTGGTTCCCCCCAAGTTCCTAACCTTCATGAATGCTCAGGCCCTGGTAAACCAGGTCTGTAGAGTTGCATATAAAGCAGCACAGTCCAGTATCCAGAAGGAATTTAAATCAGCCTTGACTTGCTTCACTTAAAGAATGTTACACAAAATCTGGGTTGTAAGCCATAGCAATGCTTCTCATAATCCCTTTCTTCATTCTTCTCTCTGATTGTTTTCCCTTAGAATTGCTCAGAAACCCTCCCTCACCAAAAACCTTTTTGGTATCCCAACTTGATAAGTTTACCTCTCATCTCCCTCCTCCAACTCTTTGTTACATGGACATTTAGACTTTCTGGCTTCTCTATTTCATGGCCATTACTCAGATTCTCTACAAAGGTGAGTCCAGAAACCTATAGGGCAGTCAGGAATCCATCCTTCTTTCCTTTAAGCCCTGCAGTCCTACCCTCTCTACTTACTCTTGATTCTGAACCACAGTGAGTTCTGTGAAAGTGGGCAGTCTAAAGAAAGCTTTCTGTAGAGAGCAGTGAAGCGAATGCAAGTTGAGCAGGTAAAGACAAAGTATATTTAGCTGTCTCCTCCTTTCCCCAGGATGAGTGCAGTCACCCTTTGATAAATTTTGTTATAGTTACTGTTAGGTTGCTTTGAGAGGAACCAAGAATTCTATTTTCTGGGCCCAATGGAGAAAGAATATAGACCAAAAGATCAGTAATGTGAGGAAGAGGCAGAAAGGAGAGCACTGATCCTTCTCCCTGTCCCCCAACCCTAATCAGTTGCAAACAGCTCATTCCTCCTTGAACCCTTTAGCCAGTTAATGAAAGTATGTGTCCATCTGGCATATTTGTATCTAGTGTTCATATGGTAACATATGTCTGTAAGCCAACACTTGGGAGGCTGAGGCAAGAAAATCATGAGTTCACCGCCAGTCTGAGCCAAGACCCTTGTCTCAAAAAACCAAACCAAACCACAACAAAATCACTGCACCTACCCTTCACAGAAGTATTTTTCTTATAAGTGTTTTAGAACTAGAGTTTCCTCTGATCTGATTCAATCTGCTTCAATATGAGAAACCCTCAAAATTTGTGATCTGCTTAGTGTTCTTTCTTGCTTTCATTGAAAATTTTAATGTTTTAAAATATTTTCTGTCATTTCTTTGGATTTGGTATGGGAAGGGGCTTAGGTATAAGCATAAAGACTATCATCTCAATACACTGTTAGGTTTTGCTATTTTACAAATATGTATCTATAGTTTTGTATATCACCCTTCTATGTATGATTGACTGAAAATGTCATTAAAGATAGGAACATTATTTATAATTTTCTTTACTAGGAAGAAACACATACCCATGCAAGTATGTTGAAATGGAGAATATGTTAAGTTGATTTTGCAAGTCAATCCCAGGTTTAAAAGAATAAAATACAATCTGACATAAACGTGTGAATAGTATAGATGACAACTGTTCACAGAGATGAAAGTTATGTTGATAAAAGAGCTTATTATTGGCTTATTTTACATGTTATTTGTGGGTAGTTTTGTTATATCTCTGTGTATGAGGAGAGTATATTGCATTTGTACAATTTGACTTACAATCCAGTATTTTCTTTAACACCATAAGCATTTTTGAAAATTGCACAGCAAAGTTCAAATCAGTGAACTCCAGGCCAAATTCAGGCTGTAGGCATATTTTTGTTTGGCCCTCATAAAATGAGCTTACAGTTTTTTAAAAACTGAATTTAATTGCCAGTGTTTGAATGTCAAGCTGTTGCTCAAAGAAATCCTGATTTCTAGCTTCTCTTGAAAAATCAGAAGATTTAACAGTATTGGGTCCACTTTCTTCTATGGCAATAAATGACCATAGCTGAGTGGCAGCTGTCCTTGTTAGGCTAGTAATTCACCACAGCCTTCATCATTCCATGTTGTCTCTTGAGCCTGCTTTTTCTTTTTATGGTTTCTTTCCTGATCCTATAGGCACTTGTTTGTGACCCTTACTTTGCCGTCTTTATAACCATTATTTTAAGTTACTGTGAAATACTCATGGAAGAAGAGTGTTAGAATTATGTTTTCTTTCTTTAAAAAAACAAAACACATAGAATTCTGTGACTTTCAACTCTATAAACATATTTTCTCACAGTGGTGTTATAATGTAGAAGTATAGAGTCAAAAAAAAAATGAGAACAGTTACATGGCTTTTGATAAATATGTAAAATACCTTCTTAACAAAACTAGTTAATGTCCAAGTTAGAGGAGTCTATCAGAAGAAATCTTGCTTTCCACCTACAGGGTTTCACAGTGTCCCTGTGGGGATCACATCAGCTGAGGTCTAGTTTTTATTTTTGCTGATCTAATTAGTATTCAAAAGGTGGCTTGGATGGGGGGCAGGGCTCAAGTGGTAGAGTGCCTGGCTAGCAAGCCTGAGGCCTGGAGTTCAAATTCCAGTACTACAAGATTAAGAAAAAAAAAAAAGATGGTTTAGTGAACAGAGTCGGAATAGAGGAAGCCAAGTATTCTGAAAGGAGATGTCATGGTACTTAAGTGAGGACTGACGTGTTCATTTAGCTTTGTAATACAGAACATCTGTCTCTCAAAATCTTCCTGCCTGTGAGTCAGTCTTCTCTTCCCTTGGGCACTGCTGGGAAATGTTTCGGGATTCTTTCTAACTCCTCCGCAGAGATCTAGTTCTCCTGTCACCTTCTTTTAGCACATTTAGCCTTGGGGGGGGGTGGGGAGGGCATGAGGCCAACCTCCCTCTGGGGGGGCCTTGACCTTGGCCACTGTGTGGCAGTCCTTGTGTCGTGACTGCAACGCAGTTGGTGGTTTCTGCGACAACAGGTGACAGGTGACTGCGTCAGCCCCGGGCGGGCACTGTGGGTCTCTGTAGTGTCCGATCCTGGTGTCCCCCAGCTGAGCCGGGGGAGCCACCGGCTATGGCGGCCTCCACGGCCTCACAGAGGCCCATCAAGGGGATCCTGAAGAACAAGTCCTCGACGACTTCCTCAGTGGTGGCCTCGGCCGAACAGACCTGCCGAAATGAGGAGGAGCAGAGTAAAAAATCCCAGCGCTGGGATGAAATGAACATCATAGCAACCCATCACCCGGTCGACAAAGACTACGGCTTGATGAAGATAGACGAGCCCCGCACGCCTTACCAGCGCCGGGCAGGCGACGACGACGCGGCCTATAGTGACACTGAGACGGTCGCCGAGGCCGTGGCCCCCGATGTCCTGGCCAAGAAGCTGGCGGCCCTCGAGGGCTCCGAACCCAAGTACCGCCTGCAGGAGCAGGAGAGCAGTGGGGACGAGGACAGCGACCTCTCCCCCGAGGAGCGGGAGAAGAAGCGACAATTCGAGATGAAGAGGAAGCTGCACTACGACGAGGGGCTGAACATGAAGTTAGCCAGGCAGCTGCTTTCCAAAGACATGCTTGAGGAGGAGGATGAGGAGGACACGCTAGCGACTGCAGACGGGCAAAGCATGACTATTGACCAGTCTAAGCAGGAATCTATGGTCAGTGACCAACAACAAGACAAATCGTAAAGTTCCTACAAGAACTTGGCTCAGCATCGCAGCTGGTTGTCCAATACAAACTCTGTTGCTGTAATACATTGCTTCTTGCTCTCCACAGTTCATGACTTGAGTACCCAAATGCACACCAGTTATTATATATTGCCAAGAATTAAACGGTAACCTTAGACTGATTACACTGGGGAGTGCCGAATGAATTGCATGTATTCTTACGCCTTGTACTTCTCCAAGAATTCAGTGTAACGTTTGTCCGATACTGCTTTACAGTTCTAACAACACAATGGTTAATTTGTATAAGGTGTTATAGAGCTTTTTATGCTGTAGAGGTTAAGCAATGAGTTTTGGAGAGTATGGGAACTAATTTTGTTTTCCTCACTTCTAGATGTGGTAGCTCTTATAAAAAGTTTGTTGGGTTTTTCATTTTTTTAAATCAAAAGTCAATTGGAATGATGGGATATATAGGTGAACCAATATGGAGGCGGAAAGGTATTTTAACACTTGTCTTTAACTCCATTTGTCTATCAGAAGGATTATAAAAATTACTGTTACATTTTTCTGTCCTATGAACTTTAAAATTCCTGTTGAATTTTTTTGTATTAACAAGGAACGGATTGGAATTTATCTCATCGAAACTGTTTTTTTCACAAATTATCAGGTTAAACTTTCACTAATGTCTGCTCTAATTGCTTATTTTTGTACACTGACCAGACTTCAGATTTGGGTGTTGTTTTTTTTTTTTTCTTTCTTTTCAGTACTGGGTTTTGAACTCAGGGCCTTGCTTGCTAGGCAGATGCTCTGCCGTTTAAACCACTCCTATAGCCCTTTTTTCTTTATTTTTCCAATTGAGTCTCATGCTCTGGCTGGCCTCCAACTGCAGTCCTCTCCGTGTGCCTCCCCAGTAGCTGGCATTCCATCCACCACCAAGCCTGGCCTTCAGATCAGTTTTTAATTAATGTAATTCTAATACAGCTCTCTCAGCATTCAATTCCCTTTTATATATGTCTTTTTTCCCCCAACTCCTTTTTACACATGCACATAGAATTATAAGGATTGTATTAAGAAATGGTAAAGATTGTCTCGATATTAGGAACTCCTCTTTCTCTCATATATTCTGTCATTTGCTGCAATAATGAAGTTCTCATTTTGACCATCAAAGCCTCCTGGTCCTCCATGAAGAAGATAGACTGAGTAGCAGTACTGAAGGGAGTAAATACAATTCAGCTGCTCATTTTCTGCACCTCTCTTCTGATTTACAGCTTGATAATTAAATTGCTATTATTAACTGATGACTTAATTAGACCTTAGAAAACAATTAACTGAGACTTTTTTGCATGTTGAGAGAATTGTATGTAACCAATGATACTCTTCCTGAAAGTACAGATAGAATGAAAACTGAAATTTTTTTAAGGGTTTTAAAAGTTTTTGATTTAAGGGAATATGACAATGTATACTATGACAATGTACTTTATTCTAATGCAATCAGATTTGTTTGGATTTGGATTTTTTTCCCTGAAACAAAGTGCAGTTCCTATGTATCTTGGTTTAGTCATTTATTTGTAACCTATTTTTGTCAGTACCAAAAGAATCTATTATATGAACAAACTTTAAAAATAATTTTTGTAATACATTTGTAAATATATATATATATATATATATATGAGAGAAATGGCTGATACTGAACAGCTTACCTTCACTTCGAGTTTATAGAAATACCAGTATGTTGAAATAAATTAAAAGTGGGAATATTCTTTGCTATTAAAAAAATTTTAGCTGGGTTTGGTGATATATGCCTGTAATTCCAGCTACTTAGGAGGTGGAGATTGGGAGGATCACAGTTCAAGGTCAGCCAAGGCAAAAACATTAGAGAGACCACATCTCAACAATCAGCTGATGTAGTGGCATGCACCTGTGATCCCAGCTAATTGGGAGGCATAAGTAGGTGAATCAGGTGACAGGCTATCCTTGGGTAAAAACACTAGACCCGATCCAAAAAATAAGTAAAATGGAACTGGGGGAGCGGCTCAAGTGGTAGAGCACCCACCTAGCAAGCTTGAGGCCCAGAGTTCAAGTCCCAGTACTACTAAAAACAAAAAACCAAATTTCAGTATCATTAGATTACAGCTTTATCTTAAAAAAGCCATTTTTGCCAAAATAACTCATCCCTTATTGGATAGAAGGGATTGGTATAGAAGAATCCAAATGGCCTTTTCATGGTGAATGACTTTGACGAATAGTAATTTCATCCCTTATACATATGTCCTTTCTAGATTCGTGCTTAGTTTTGTCTTTCATTTTCTGTGTGTACTTTGCTCACAATGTTGATTACTCTGGCATTTAAAATTCCTCAAATGAAGTTTACATATATTGTCCTTGTGTCAGTCATCTGAGAGAGTATTATCCCCATTTTTTAAAATGAAGAAACTTATCTTTAAAATGATAAGAGTGTGTAAGTGACTTGTTCAAAGTCAAAGTCTAGTCTTCAGTGGGGTTGGGAATTAAACTGAGTCCACATTTGTAAGAGAAGCAGTAGCCTGGAGTCCAAGAAGTGGGTAGAAGCAGTGGGTGTCTCAGTGATCAGATATTAGAAGGGACCATGACCCTAACGCTTAGTTGATTCCCTTTGAAGTTTCTTTTGCGCTCCTGCTGGGAAAACAGGGTCACCTAATTAGGTGTTAGTGGCACAGAACTTTTGAAAAGGGTTCCTCTAGGATGTAGTTATAGCCTGTTTGTGAATGACAGTCCTGCAAATTGTACACCCTCTGGTCCTGTCTGGGGCAGCTGCACAATGGAGGGCAAAATTGAAAGAGATTTCTCTCAGAATTATTCCTATAAGGGTTCTTCTCATTTGGCTAAACACAAAGATATCTATTGCGAGGTTAACTTACAAATGAAGCATTTTCATTTTAAAGAAGAATCAGTGAGGGGTAGAAGAAAGGGGATTCCCTTCTTACTAAATGTTTTTCTTAGTATTTTTTCAAAATATTGGAAAGATTGAATGATGAATTTAAAAAATAGTGTACAAAATGCTTAATATAACAAGTTCTTATAGATCCTCCAGGTTTTTAATCTCATAATATGATTTCTGAAAACGTAACAGGAAGGTTTTTGTATAAAACTTTTATTATTATTATAAGTTCGTTATGATTCCTGTATATTTATAAGCATTATAGCACAATTTTAAAATATAAAAGCAAAATATACTTATGTCTCTAGGAACTTCTGGCACTTTTGTGTAAAAAGAGAGAAGTATTCAACAAATAATTTTTCTGGAATATGGGTTCCCTCTTGTTGAATTTTAAAATATTGGTTGGTGGATATGTTCCTTAGCTCCTTACCATCCCTCAAATGACTGAGAATGGAGAGCATATCAGAAATTGCCTCCATTTCTTTTGTAGATAATAGAATCAAGGTGTTTATTGTTTTACTTCAGAGGGTTCTGGACAGATGATTAAGAACAGTTCTAAATGTTTTCAGAGTTGATAGTTGAAGCCTAGCTCCTCTATGCCTGGTGATGTTGAGATTCAAAGGTGCTAAAAGAAATGATAAGCCTTTATGAGTGGTATGTATTTGGAATCTTTCAAAGGTATTGGTGCATTTTAGCTGAACTAGTTGATGTTCAGAGTATACATAAATCATAATTAGAACTCTACTAATCTCTATCACACAAAATCATTTTCATGTCTGTAGTTGAAACAAATGGAGGGTTGGAAAGTTCTCCATGATGTCTAAAATGAATACTAGTTTTGTGGAGTACATGCTTTAGTTAATGCTAATACGAATTACTACTGTCCTGAAACTTTTCTGTTTTTTTTTTTTTGTTTGAATATGAGACTGTCTTCTAGCCTGTGGAACTTTTCCATATATATATGGAAATATATATTATATATATATTATTATATATATTATATATATATTATTATATATATATAATTTTAAGGAAAAAAACTCCTGTACAGTCAGCAAATGCATTTCCAAATGCTACTAAGACAAACAGACATGTCTTTATATGTAAGATGTGTCCTATGGCTTTAAAATTTTTCCTCTTCCTCTTCTTTCTCCCCCGCCTCCTCCTTCTACTAGGGTTTGAACTTAGGACATCATACTTTCTACAGGTGCTCTGTTACTTGAGCCACATCACCAGCCCTAAAAATTCTTTGTTTTTTGATTGAGGAATCATCTTTTTATAAGTCTTTTTTATACCAGGAATTATTTTTTACAAAGGGATGCATACTATGTCAGCATCCCGAAGATATTGCTAGAGGCTGTACCAAAATATTCCTAGGGACTATGCTTATAGACAGGATGAAACTTGAAGATCAAGAGAAATAAATTGACTAAGCTTTTGTAGAAGCAATTTATCACTCTGGAATACCTTTGGCAATTGCTGAAAATGCATGCTGGCAGGAAGTTTTTTAATTACCCAAACCATCAGATCATTTGCTTAGTTCTTTTAGAGTCAGTGAAATATATGAGTGGGGAATGGAGTTTGTCCAAGGAAAAACAAGATAAGCATTATGTCTGGTTCTGTCTCTGTTGTAGATGGAACGCCAGATGTTCAGGGGCAATCACCATACACATATACACAGAATACACACAGACACACATTTATGTGCTCTCTATATATGTGCATACATGAGAGTTAAAATAACAATAGATTTTTCGTAGTACACGGGAGGACCTCAAAATGGTGGCTGGTTGCATTCTGGGAAAGACATGCTAAGTGGAAATGATTTTTAAGTTTAACTTGTTTTTCTGTTAGAAGTAACATTGTAATAAAGGTTATATGCTTGAGTAGGAAAGAGATACCTAAGTCTTTGTACAATTTGCTATAAATACAATATTTAATCAGCTGTTAGTGACAGAAGAGGACAATAATAGCCAAGTACTTTTCAAAGCAAAGATAATACATTTTCTCATTTAATTTCTCTCATTATTGTCTTTACTTTGCAAATGAAGAAACTGAAGTTGAGAGAGGTTCAGTAATCTGAAAAAGATCACATGGCCAGAAAGTG